TATTTGGTGGGGATATGTTATTTTGGTTTTTCATGTTATTATTTTTTCTCTGTGATTTTGACATGTGAATTTCTTTTGTGGCTTCTGAATGAATTTTGAGACTCAGGCCTTCAAGTTTAGGTCTGCTTCTTTTTGTGAACTTTATGTGTCTTTTGGTTTACTTTTGGGGCTTGAAACCTGGTTCCTCTAAGCTTCAGATTCTCTCTTTTGATTTTATATTGTGGCCAGATTGCTTTTGTCTACAGGAGTTCCCACAGAGGCCCAAGTCAGATGAGGATCAGATGCTCTCAGGCTTTCTCCTAAGATCTGGATCCCTTCAGGAAAGATTTTGTCCTCAGGAATTTGGTGGTTGCACTGGCCTGGGAGCAGGGCCCAGGAAAGGTGCTGGTCTAGGGTAGCTGGTGGGTGTACTACCCAGAGAGGCAAAGGGAGATGCAGGTGGGAAGAGGCCCCAAGGGTTCCTGGAGACTGCACTGAGGAACTGGGTTGGTCTGGATGCAAAGGATCAGGAAGAGGAAAGGTCAGCCCTGGCGTCCAGGAAAGAGGCTGGGGGATTGTGCAGCATAGGGAAGCAGAGGGAGGTGAGGGTGGGACCAGGCCCTGATGGCTCTTGGGGACCCCAGAAGGAACTGGGTTGGTCTGGATGCAAATGATCAGGAAGGAGTGGCGGTCGTGTCGTGTCCCCCCCTGCCCCCCCCACCCGACCCGCCTTGTCCAACACAAGGAGTGGGCCAGGTCCCAGGCTAGGAGGAGCAACGGGCGGGGCAAATGGGAGGGTGAGTGAGGCTGGGGTGTGACTGACTTACCCCAGAGAGAGGCCTGTGGGGTTGTGGAGGCCCAGGGAAGCAGAGGGAGGTCCAAATCTGCCATTTTTATTCCTTCCCCTGTTCTAGGAGTCCATGCAACCCATGATGAGGGGCTGAACTAAACAACTAGCATTAGAAATGGAAAGAACTTGGTATATTTGAAGATTTTAAATAGGATTTGAGAGTATGAGAAAAAGAAACAGTAGTGATGCTCTCCAAATGTCTAGGTTGGGCAGCTGGGCAGAGGTGATGTCCTTGGAGCGTGAAGAATACAAGAGGAAGAGGCCCATCAGTGATGGTGATGAGGATAGTTGGGTCGGAGAGGTGATGTCCTCATCACATTTGGAGCAATCTCTCATTCTGTTCTTTCTAGTGCGCCTTGTATGTAATCCCATCAGTTTACTTCAGAATGGCATTCAGAATCTGTCCATTTCTTATCATCCCACCCACTCCCACATTGAAGCTCCCTTGTTCTTCCATTTAGACGATGTAGTGGCCTCTCAACTGGTCTTTCTGTGTCTACCCTTGTCTTCCTAGAAGCCCACCCTCCAGACAGAGACCTTTAAGTGCATTTCAGAACAAGCCAGGCTTCTGGTGCTCAGTGACTTAACATCACAAAGCTGTGGCAGTGGCCCAAAATACCCTTCTCTGATCTGAGAGTTCTTTGCTTCTCTAAGTCATCTCTGTTACTTTCCCTCCTGGTTCATCTGACTTTGGCTACTGTCGTTTCTTGCTTTCCCCTGGCTTCTTTCTACCTGAGGGCCTTTTCCCCACTCATATTCATAGTCATACTTATATTCTCTCCCTGGAAGACCCACAAGGATTGAAGCTTTTTATTCTCTTTTGTACATTGCAGCAACTATCACATTGGCCAGATAATTGACAACACAGCATTATTCTTTAAAAATATTGTTTTAAACTTTATTATGTGTGTAAGTATTTTGCCTGCACATGTGCATGCAGTGCACATTGGAGGCCAGAAGAGGATGTCAGATTCCCTGGACCTGGAGTTACAGATGGTTGTGAGCTGTCATATGTGTGCTGGGAACTGAGCCCCAGTCCTCTGCAAGAGCAGCTAGTGTCTTAACCACTAAGCCATCTCTCCAGCCCCTCTTACTATTTTTCAAGACAAGATCACTCAGGCTGGCTAGGAACTCTCAAGGTAGGCCAGATTTTCCTCAAAATTGAGATCCTGCTGCATCATCTTCCCAGGTGTTGTAATTACAGGCGTGAGCCACCACATGAATTTTGTTTTCTCTTCTTGCAGTGCATTTCCACAAGTGCCTATCTGCTTGCTCCCTCACTCCTCATGTCTGTATTAAATTTCATCACCTAGAATGCTAGAAAGCTCTGCCTTGACCTTCCTGCTTGGAACTGTCTATACTGCTTTTCCAGCCTTTTCTCCATAGTATTATATCACATACTGTTTCTTTATTTTGCTCACTGTCTGCTTTCTGCTATTGCATTGGAAGATCTACAGGGCTTGGAGCTCTTTATTCTCTTTTGTTCATTGTAGTGACCATTACACAGGGTCAGATAATCGACAACACAAAACTTTACGGGATGATATACCCACATAAGACTTACTTTCAACTAGAGTAAACACAGAGACCCACACTTCCAGCAGAGCTTCTGTGGTCCTTTCAAGGCTCACAGGTTACTTGTTCTTAGATGATGAAATATTAGGATGCATGTGAGATACTTTGATGTGGGAAGACAACACATTAAGGTTTCAAGGTATTTTTTATAGCCTTACTGGTTAAATGAAAACATTTTTTTAGTTATCAATATAAGGGAACAAATATAGAATGCCTCCTGGGAAGTTTGGTCATTAAGTGCCCCTTAAGAATGACTAGTTAGGGGCTGGAGATATGGCTCTGTGGTTGAGAGCACCAGCTGTTTTTGTAGAGGACCCAGGTTTGGTTCCCACTACCCACAGTTCCAGGGGATCTGATGTCTTTTTCTGGCCTCTGTGGGCATTGCGTGACATGAGTGCACTTACATACATGCAGGCAATACATTTATACACATAAAATAAAAATAATAGAGTATTTTTAAAAAGAGTGACTAGTTAGTATATCTCAGCCCTTCTTAGCTAGAAGTCATTATCAGACTTCAGAGTATCCCTGGAGGTAAGTGAACTAGTACAAACCAGTGGGAAGTGAATTCTTTCCTTAATCTCTGTCACAGACAATGCTTGGTGCATAGCTGGTTAATGTTTGCTGAGGTGATAACTAAAATGAAGGAACTGAATGATTCATTTCATCTTTATCCATTTGGATCTCTAAATTCTTTGATACAAGTTTGGCCAGTATCAGTCCTTTTTAGAAATCATTCCAGGTCTTCTAGAGTTGTAGAGAGTCCCTTTTCACCATCAGAGAAATGTCAGTAAGAAGCTGCTTTTCCAATACTGGGTTTATTTCTCTTGGTTTATAAAAGGTTTCTCTACAGTTCTTCCCTTTTCCAGCAGACAAAGGGGTGAAACGTCATGTCATTTTTATGTGGCTGACTTCACTTTCCCTTAACAACTCATAATATTCTGTTTCCTTGAGGACTGTTGCTGAATCCATCCTTTGTTAGTCTTACTAGGTCTTTTCCATTCAAGGACATAGTCTATTCTTATTTCCTTAGTTACATTTTCTGCACTTTTAGTATCTTTCTCTTTTTCTGCTATCCCTGTGTTCAGAGTTTCCCATGAAGTATGATCCTTTATTTTCATGACCTAGGGTTACAGGTGTGCTGTTCTTAGAGCCTAACACTGTATAAATGAGGCACGGTGACACGTGCCTGTGATTCAAGTACTTGGGAAGTAGAGGCAAGAAGAACAGAAGTTCAAGGTCATCCTCTGTTATATAGTGAGTTTGAAGTCAGCCTGAATCCATGAGACTCTGCTTAAAAATAATTGGTTTTAAAGTTAATATTCTTTCTAAAAAATACATGTTAGAAAAATAAGAAAACATGTAAGAATAAATTTTTTAAAAAGTTATGTACAATATGTATTCCTTACATAACAGTCACTATTACTCCGTTTTTAGAACTAATAATAAATTATGAACATTTTTTTCAATTAGCTATATTAATTTGGCACAGTACACTGAGCCTTATTACATAAACTAATCATAATTTAAGTAATTCCTTGTAATGGGATATTAAGTTATTTCATATTTTTCATTATAAAGAATAGCTCTTAGAATTATTTAGTTCCTCAGACTCACATTCTGTATTCAAACTTATAGAAGTAATATTTCTGCATTAAAAGATATATAAATATTAATGACTTTTATCTGCTTATTTTTAAATGTATGCAAATGGCCTTTTCTGTTAGTTCTGTCTCTGCAATGTCCTCCTTTTCTCTTTTCTGTGGCTTGGTATGGAGAAGACTCCCTGAAGTATTAGTCCACCATCTTTCTCAGCACTTGGTCAATTTGATTTTAAAAGGCTAGAACTGGGGAGCTGGGGAGGTGGTTCAGTAGATAAAGTACTTGCCCCTCAAAGGGTGAGAAAAATGTAAGGACTGGAGTTTGGATCCCCAGCACCCACATAAATGCCAGGTGGGCATGACAACCCACCTGTGTTCCTAGTGCTTGAGTGGCAGAGACAGGAAATCTCCAAGGCAAGCTGCTGGCTGACTAGCAGAGTCAGCAAGCTCTGGGTTCTGGTGAGAAACTCCGCCTCAATATATTAGGTGGGAAGCGACAAGAAATACATCTGATGTCAACTCTGACCTCCACACATACTCTTGTGCATGTGTGCCTGAACACACGTGTGGTACACATGTCATACATATACACATGCACACCACACACATAAAGACACAAAAAGTGTTGCAGCTGGGTATAAGATCTTCCCAGATTGTAATTCTGCAATTAGTTTTCTTCTTTCACTTTCTCTGGTACAATAATATAATTAAGCATTTTATTTTCTCCTACCATGAAAATTTTTTATTTCAAATTAAATTCTTTTTAGAAATTCATATAGTAGATTGTTAATTAGACTATTAAAACTATCTTAATTAAAAGCATATCTATGGTATTATATTTCAATATTTCTGTGTAATTTTCTATTTTAGAATGTAACTAAAGACTGCACATGACCCCAAATAACTTTTTGTGATACAGCAAGAATTATCACTGTCTGACAAGGATAAACATTCTATAAAGAAGCTAACTAATTTTGTTGTGTTTATTTTTAAAGGTATTAATTAATCTTCGCAACCCAAATTATGAAAATGGTGATTCTCTTAGTTTTAGGACTCATTTGGGCTTAATCCAAGTTCCTCTGAAAGTAAAAGACATCCCTGAATTGGTAAGTATAAACTGTGAAGAATAAATTAACATACTTTAGAACATAGCCATTAGAAAAATGTTTTAGTACAGCATGTATCTAAAGTAATAAGGGTAATGGACTCATTAAGCAAATTACTGAAGTGACATCCTTTTCATTGCAAATATGTAAATAGAAAGAGCAAGTTGTTTTGTCTGTAGGAGTAAAAATGAGTTTGCAGGCCGTGGTGGAACACGCCTTTAATCCCAGCACTCGGGAGGCAGAGGCAGGTGGATCTCTGAGTTCAAGGACAGCCTGGTCTACATAGTGAGTTCCAGGACAGCTGGGGCTACAGGGAGACCCTGTCTCAAAAAGACCAAAAAAAAAAAAAAAATGAGTTTGCATTGACTTATAAATGTTTTTGCCTATTTCATGTTTTAATAAACAGCACACATTTATGAGGCAGTCTGTTGGGATTCAGGCGCCTGATGTGTGGCTGTAAAAATGATTGGAAAAAACTGTGAGCTTTATAAAGAAATATTTGGGAAAGCATATTTTATTTAGTTTAACTAACCTTCCTGGAGCCCATGACCTGGTAAGACTCTAAGGGAAACGCCTTTGCTCTGGGGTACATCATTAGGTGAGGAAGTTAGTTTTAATATGAACTGTGGGGAGATTTCCTGATGGTGGAGTTAAGATATTATCACTCCTTTGGTTACTCACCTCCAAACCGTAAAGGAGACGTAGAAATGTAGATGCCCCTGTTGAAACTCAAAATAATTTAGCTCTGAGCTTTCATGATAGAGAGCTCACGATGAATAACCTAAATGGGGAAGAAGGCGAACCCAAGTACATCTATCAGATGGGAAGAGTGAATGAGAAGTGTGCCAGTAATCACTTCAGTCTTTTAACTCCAAATCATTATCCTGTGCTCAGCCTTGCCTGGACAATCACTTTCCTTTTGTCAATTGTCCTGATGCTGGAGAGACGCTTCCACAGTACTAGCAGGAGGAAGTGTCTGTGTACAGGACAAGGGTACCAGTCCTCAGCAGCCCAGCTCCAGCCTGCTCCATTTGGCAAGATTTTTTATGGCCTTTGTTCTCCATCACAGTCTTGGCTGCCAGAAGGATGCTTTTCTGATTTTGTGCTTTCTTCTTTGTTTATGCTCCTTCAGCCCAGAACTGTGGTTGCTTTCTGCATTTCCTACTGCTGCTTTTCTCTCTTGACACTTCTGGTATGCTTTCTCTTTCCTAACTAGACTCTGATTGATGTAAGAGACAAAATTGTTTTCTTCATAGAACCTTGGAAAGGCTTAAGAATCAGAGACGTCATGGGTACCAGAATGTGATGGTGTTCCAACAGTTCAGAAATGGAGGTTGTGTACAAAACTGTATCAGGAGTTAGTCCTCAATTCTGAGTAGTCAGATGATCCTTCTTCATCTGTTGGAGCCCAAAGATCACTTCATCAGAGCTACAGAATTAGAATGGCTACTAACTCAGAGACCTTGGACATTATAATAGGAAGGCAGAAATAATTTAAAACAGGAATTAAGTGAAATCTATTAAATGAGACTGATAATACTGTCTCTGTTGCTGTGCTTTCCTACCCTCCACTAGCTCTAGAATGCCAGAAGAAAAGCTAACAGACATTTGGAGAACCCATACCCAAAGCACAGTTGACTGGCTACAAAATTGTCCAGCAGTGAAGCCCACTATACCCTAGTGCAGTCCTTGCTGACGGAGCTTCCAGTCAGCTTTTGATTTCCTTGTTTCCAAACTTGAGTAATGAACCTGGAATCCCTAGACATTTGAACTCTTCCAATTTAAAACCATGAGGCTATGAACTCAGAAAGGAAAACTAAAGCCAAAGGGGAGGGGGAGCAAGAAAGAGGAAGGGAGGGAAGAGAGAGAGGGGGAAAGAGGGAGATGGCTTATAGAATGACCACTAGTAAGTATGTAGACGTTCAAGGTTTGGATTTAGAGTCATACAAGAGTTAATAGGCCCTAACTTGGCACAAGGTTCACTTTAATTTATAGAATTAGACAAGGCAGAAGAAACAAAGGTATCCATCAGTATTCTAGCACCTTTATTAGGGAGACTATCACTGAGAGTCCTTACAGCCATCTGGGTGCTCCTTCTCAACCCCCACGAGGAACACACAGAAGTTGCAAAGACCATGGGCATAGCCTCCACATTTTTGCAAGATACCCCATAAGGCTGCTCAGACAACTATTTTCCAATAGATTGTAATTTTTACTTTTTTTGCAGGGCTAGTGGTTGAACCCAGGGGCTTCTGCAGGACAGGAAGCATTTAACGGGCACAGGCTGTCCTCTAACTTCCACATGCATGTGGTGTGCTGTGATACACACACACACACACAAACACACAAACACACACACATACACACACACACACACACAGAGAGAGAGAGAGAGAGAGAGAGAGAGAGAGAGAGGAAAAATACCACAAGTATAGATGATCCAACAGGCTTTACTACGTACAAATTTATATCGCATTGGGTCTTATTATTAGAGAACTTATTAGAGAAAGCTGTGAAAATGAAAAAAAGGTTTAAATATGGATAATACGGGAATGTTTAAGAATATATTTATAAATACAGGATGGCCTACCAGTGAATGATATTAATGTAGTTAAAATAACGTAACTCAATATGGATTTAATCAAGAACTCATATGTGATTATATTGGACTGATAGTGGAAGGAAAGAAAGTTTACAGGAACTAAAATCCCAATATAATCACATAAGAGCAATAGCATCTGAAACTTCTGAATTGATTTTTACTTATTTATTTTTATTTTTATGTGCATATTTTGCTTAAATGTTATATATGTGAACCATGTGCATGCAGTGCCTGCAGGCCAGAAGAGGACATTGGATCCCCTGAACTGGAGTTAACGAATGCTTGTCTCCCACCATGTGGGTGCTGGGAACCGAACTTGATTCCTCTGCAAGAGGAGCCAGTGCTCTTAACCACTGAGCCATCTCTCCAGCCCCCAACTTTTTAAAATTAAAATAGAGATATATGCTTGTTACTTAGAGGTAGGGAAATAAGTATTAGAAAAAAATACGAAAGTGATTATCCTGGTTGCGTGTGGGGGCCGACTGAGTTGGAGAGTAGCTGTAAGATAGGGACTGCTGTTTTGTGGTCCTTATTCTGTCTTTAACTGCTTTGTCTGTTGGCTTCATGGAGAAGCAGCGAATTACAGTTAGCTAATGACACTCCAAAGTCAACCAACCTGGTATCTTCTGGCTCTGCCACTTGATGTCCCTGTTACTTTGAGGAAGTTATTTGCATTCTTGGAGCTTTAGTTCCTTAACTGTAAACTAGAGTTAGTAACTTAGAGTGTTATAAGTTATGCCATATATACAAGCTGAATTGCATCTCTCCAAAACATATATTGATGCCCTAACTTCCAGTGAACCTGCAAGCATGACCCCATTTGAAAATAGGGTCTTTGCAGGTTAATTAAGGCAAGGTCTTATTTGAGTATAGAAATCCTGAAATCTGACTTTGCATTTCTGGATGGCATAGCCACCAGCTTCCTGGGGCCAGCTTCTTGCCTGGGTAAGTTTGGCCACATCCACTGTGCCTTGACTCTCCCAGACTCTTTCACCCTCCCTGATACCCTACTCCATCTCTCCTCCTAGTGTGGGCACTGGTCCATTTCTTTTCTTGACACCCAAGACCTCTGGACTGCCCTCTTGGCCCAGACTCCCCACTGCTTCCTGACCCTTTGCACACAGACCAACCCAATTCCTCGATCTAGTCCTCGGGAGCCCTCGGGGCTTGGCCCCTCCAATATAAAATTAAAAGAGAGAATCTGAAGACTAGACCCACCAGCTTTTCATGCCCAACAAGTAAACAGCAAAGGCGCATAAAGTTTACAAAAAGAAACGGACCTAAACTCAATAAAGGAAGGCTTGAGTCTCACACAAGAATCAGAAACTACAAAAGAAACCCACATGTCAAAGCCACAGCAAAAAAATAATAACATGAAAAACCCAAATAATATATCCCACCAAATACCAGCAGTCCCGTAGAGGAGTACAGTGAGAACCCCCTAGAGATAACACAGGACATGGAATTCAAAAGAATGATTATAAACATGATAAAAGAATTCATTGATATGAAGAACACAGAAACAAAGAAATGAAAGAACTGAAAGAAGATAGGGACAAACTTCTGAATGAATTCAGAAAACAGTTAGAAATATTGAAGAATACTCAGGCTGAAATGAAGAAAGAACTGAAACACTCAATAAGCCAGTTAGAAATGATAGGAAAAAGCTTCACCAAAAGGATGAAATAGAAAACAGAATATCAAGACTGGAAGACAAAGTGGACAAATTAGACTACTCAAGCAAAGATTATGAAAAATTTAAGAAAACACAAGAATGGAATATGCAGGAATTGTGTAACGCCATAAAAAGACCAAACTTACGCATCATAGGCATACAGGAAGGAGAAGAATCTCAAGATAATGGTATGGACCAGATCTTCAATAAGATTGTAGAAGAAAATTTCCCAAAATTAAAGAAACACATGCCCATATAAATACAAGAAGCATATAGAACACCAAATAGACAGTACCAGAAAAACTCTCCACGGCAAACCATAGTAAAAACACTAAATGTACAGAACAAAGAGAGAACACTGAAAGCTGAAAAAGAAATACAACAAATCACATATAAATGAAAACCCATCAGAATTTTACAGCTGACTTTTCAGTCCAAACTATGAAAGCCAGAAGAGCCTGGACTAAAGTATTCCCACTTCTAAGTGACCACAGATGCCAACCCAGATTACTTTACCCAGCCAAAATATCTATTACAGTCAAAGGAGAAAGAAAAATCTTCCATGACATAAATAGGCTGAAAGAATTCCTGTCCACAAAACCAGCCCTTCAGAAAGTTCTTGAAGCAATACAAAGCACTGAAGAAAGGAAACAACTATACCCAAGGAGTTACAGAAAGAAATTCAATGAAGGTATAACTGTGGAAAAGCACAGCTACATCAAG